TGGGCCAGGCAGGGTTATTTTGCCCCACATCAAAGTGCACGTCTGGGCACATGAGCTGAGGGAAAAAGCCCCGGCTCAAATTTGCACCGTTTCTATTTGAGCTAGTGCAAGAGCATGTGCCTTCATGTGTGGACGTGCCCTATGAGTGTAAGTATCACTGAGTGATACATATATATACGGTAGCACTGTTCTGTCAGTCACCTGATTGACTCTGTGCCATTTTTTCATTTCAAGTGTTAAGTTGAACAATTATAATTTGTAGTTAGTTGAGTTCAGATTAATTTTTAGATACCATGTTGCAGAGGCTGCAAAACCTATCTAGTATCTTTGTTATAGGGTTTTCTAACAGCTAATTATCATATTTACTCACATGCCACACTTGCTATTTCCTTGAAAATCAACCCTCCAAAATTGGGGTGCATGCCTAAGCAGCTTTGCAAGAACTTCATTGCATGGAACTGTAGAAACTTAAAGACACTGCTTCAAATGACTACCAGCTTTTTTCTTCTTGCAAGCTAGTAAAAGGGGGCACAGTCTAGTGTTAACCCCTTCATAGCCACTCTCAAATTGGAACCAGTTTTTATCAAGTTTTATCTCACAACAAGTAAATGGGGGATAAGTAGTGCTTTTGTGGGTGCTGCCTTGGCCTTGCTTGTTGGAAGGGAGAGAGAATCTGGCAATCATCTTGTAGTACACTGTCTTCATGAAAAATCCAGCTCCTAGATTACAGCAATGGAAAAATCTTTTTTCCCCCCCTCTACATTCTGCTCACTCAAACAGGCTTCTTTTAGTATAGATAACTCACCTGTCAGATATATAAACACCAGTATTTGAACACTGATCAAATTATTTAATTCACTTTCATTTGAGCATAGCATTAAATAGCAATCAAACATGGTATATAGATAACTATATAAAGCAGCCATATGTTCACTGATGCATATTCTTCAAGTACAAGAAGTCAGACAACTCATTATACAGTACTACAGTTAATGGGAAATGTTCTCCTAGTATTGGTTAGTCTTTCAAGTGACACAATTGGTGCCTCATTATGAAGATTGTTTAACAATTACAGGACCTGGTTGCAGTTGTCATTATCTTTATTACAATAACTCCTGTCTTTTCAGATATTTTACATTCTAGGTATCCAGAAACATAGGAGTAAGAGGTGTGATACCCTAGTCATTTAGGCTGGTACTTTGTTGCAGACAACGTTCTGTTTAGATTACATTTATTAGTTCTTCATTATGAATGATGCACGTTTAACCTTCAAAATTTTCATTTTAATGTTTGTTGCAGCTGGTATATGAATTTTTCCTGAGATTTTTGGAGAGCCAAGATTTCCAGCCTAGTATTGCAAAGCGATACATTGACCAGAAGTTTGTACAGCAGGTTGAGTACATTTTTTGATATTTAATATTCAAGTTATTGTAAACTAAGTGATACTACTGTGCTGCCAGTTTCTAATGTATAACATTATATAATACAACATTTTAAGTTTTAATCTTGGATGACCAATTTTTATTAAAATTTAAACCATTATTTTAACAAATGAGATTTTTTTTTGGTACCAATTAATGTACTAACAGAATAAAAGATGGTACAGATGCATGGAATTTCATGTGGAAATTTACAGAATTGTTATTAATACTTTCAAAGAAAAGCTTCAACTTGTGGAACAAATTGGCTTTCTTCATAATATATGTTTTGTCTACTGTTGAAATGAACAATTCTCAGATTAAATTTTGCCATTGTGAATCCATCAATATAAAGGAATATTGGGTCACTTAGAACAAAAAATAGCATACTGTGGAACAATTAGTATATTTTAAAGAAACTTTGTTTCAGTCTCTTTAAATTAGTGCACTTTTTTGACATGATAGTTATCATTTCTCTTTATTAGTAACAAAGTGTAGTTAGGTTTTTTGCTTTTCTGCTGTAACTACCATATTTACTTGAATATAAAATGAGAGGTTTTTTGCTCCTTGTCTTCTGGACATACAAGGAAACTTAAATACATTAAATACATTCTCTCTCATTAAACTGCTGCCAAAAGCCAACATGCGCTTAGTAGTATAAATCAACTATGCAGTTGATTAAGTGCAGCCAACACTGGGCACAACTATAAAAACACATGGCCCATATTGGGCAAACATATTGATGTGGACCTACCACAAGGAGAGATGAATGCAGCGTGTCTGAATAAGACGCGTGGTATTGTCCGCTGGGTGCAGTCCCCCTCAACGTTTACTCTCTCTTTCATGTCATAGTGAGTCACTACATTAAATACATTTCAACTTCCTCTTTGCTGTCACCGCTGAGCTGCACCTTTCTTTCCCGTTTCCAATTCCTGTTTCTTCACCTGTCTTAGATAGCTGGCAAACATCACCAAACAGGGCCCCAAACAGTTCATCCAGAATCCCTCTGTTGCATCCTGTCTCATCCTGTTGTATATGATGATTAGCATGGCCCTGCCCTCCATAAGGTGCAGCCATACCAGGTTGCCCTGCACCTCATCTGCATATAAACTTTGGATGATCCCAGGACTAGTGACAAGAACACCTAGTTCCAGTCATGAGTGGGGGACAAATTAGCACATTTGTTGGGGGTGTATCTGGAGTTACACACACATACTGAGAGTAGTATTGACCTATGAGGTCACCATGGCTTGAAATGCTGTTGCCACTGCTGAGACCCAGCCCAGTGACCTATATAGTAAATCATGCACCTTTTGACTTTGGACTAATTGTGCATAGTTTAGACTGTACATAATAACTAGGTACAAAAGTGTTGTTTAAAAGAGTGTTTATGGAGTACCTGTGCTAAAACTTGCAGCAGTTTCAGAAAAAAGATAAACTCTGTCAATTCTGGATGAACTAACTCTATGGGTACTAAATGCAAATTACTACAGATATATTTATTTCAAGGTCAGTGTTTACAGATTTGTTTCTCACTTCCATGTGCTCAGGGAGCGCAGGGTCTGACAGTAAGGAAAGGAGGGAAGAAGTGTGGGGGGGAGCAGAGGGCAAGGGAGCCACCTGACTCCCTACTTTTTATTTTCCCTGCTGTAGCAGGGGGAGATGGAAAAATTCAAGGCAAACTTCCAACAATTAGATTCTGTACCTGGATAATTATAACAGATTTCTAAATTTTCCATATATAGAATATAGTTATTGGGGGGTCATCATATATTTAGGGTTGTCTTGTATTTAAGTAAATACATGAATGAAATGTTCAAAATTTCATTGTATCTACAGAGAAATCAACTGAAAAAAGTATACTTAATAGATAATGAATAAATGTGAGCACATGGATTAGTTCAGATTTTCATTTGGTTAAATAATATAATGACAACAAAAACAAAAGAACGTAATTGTAAAGTTCTTGCATGTTTTTGTTCTTTGTAATATGTTTGAAATTATACCCTTCTCTTTGGTAGGAGATGCATACATTTTCATAAGTGTTCAACTAAGATTAATAAAGATTTACCTTAACTGGTGAATTTTTTAAATGGTCAAGTTTGTGGATATTGCTATTATGCTGAATACCCACCTCAGTATTAAGGGCTGAGTAGATTTGTCAAGTTTAGATAAGACTATGGCTATGAGACCATAGCTGTGGTCTTATCTAAACTTGACAAATCTACTCATTCCTCATATCTAAACTTAAATGGATACTGGTAGGGGGGAGAGATCAGAAACAATAGGGCACATTGAAGAGGGGTTGCCAGAGGATTCTCTGACAAGGATGTGCCTTAGTCTTTCAGGTTGGTTCCAGCATCTTCTGCCCAAAATAAACAAATAAAATTAATCACCTTCCTTCTGCATTTAATTTTCCTTTTTGTTTGTACCCTTCCCCCCTCTTGCCATTGCCTTTCACTCTATTTTCTCACAGCATTTCATACCCCAGCTTGTAGCGGGAGCAGAAAAAAAACTGAGGGAGATGAAAGGGAAAAGAATACAGGGTGGATCATGAGAACAAAGAACTCCAGAGCTCCTTCCCTTCAAGCTAACAGCCACAGCATTGTTTACCCGATTATATGAAGTCCTGGAAAACCTCTCCCTCAGCAGGTCCAACATTGGCCACAGTAGGCAAATAGGAGTTCTGAAGCAAATTCCTCTTGATTGGGATCAGCATCAGATGTCGGTGGATGTGAATGGCAGGGGTGAAAAAGATGTGGCCCTAACACCATTGCTGCACTGTCTGTGGATCTCAGAGCTGACCCACAGGCAGCATGTAGTGTACATGCAGCACCCGTTCCAGCCCCTCTGGGATCACACATCACTCAGTGTCAGATCTGGTGCATGTCCCATATCAGCCAGTGCAGTGCTAGAGCAGCTGGAGTAGG